GATTATTCACAATACGTTGTTCTTGATATCTTGATACATTCCAATAATCCCTCGGAGTTCCCAAATTTCAGGAGCCCCCTGGGATTGGAGCTAGCTTGAAAGAATACACAGGGCAGCTATCGCTTGACCTCCTTCTGGAAGGGGTTGAACAATGGCTGGCCACGTGTTTTCTGTTCTGGTTGCCTTTTGGCATAAATATTATTTTTTAGGTGACTGTCCTAGAAGAAGTTTGCAGATCAGAACTTCTATTCTGCATACTTCTTCCAGATCAGTGTCTCAGATCAACCCCAATGCATGCACCCATTGGATCTGCATGATATCCGGTGAAACGGGGAGATCAGCAATGGCGGCTCACATATACTGTATGTCCCATTGGCAGGATTCTGTGTAAACGTTGATATAAAAAGCCAAAAGTGGGGTCTTTTAAATAGGAGAGTTCCTTAATTATGTTCCTTGCAGCTTTGCACTGGCGGCAGATGAAGTGCCCAATTGCAGCCACATGCAGTGCTGTTCCCCAAGCGCCCCTTGCCTCCGAATCCTTATATGAAACCTGTGAACATTGTGTTCCTAATCAGTAATTGGCTTCTTCAATAGACATAGGACAGTGGTCCGTCTGTATATGTACACGCCTGCGATCACCCACTCGGAGGTTGTATAGTTATCCTTAAAAATAGTACTAGTGCTTTCTATTTAATATCTGTACAGTGTGTGGTGTATTCCAAAGCAGCAAATCCAAAACCACCTTGTAGCAGATTGGATGGTGTAGCTTGCTACATCTTTTTTGCCCTTTGTATCTTGTGATTCAAAGAGAACCTGTCACCAGTGATCTTATACTTAAAACAATGTTCCTAAAAAATCAAAATGTGGGTCCTGTTTATTGGTGACAGGTTCACTTTAATCTGTTGATGACGGCCTCTATTTTCTGGGAGTCTGCTGGCGATATCTTGTATTTGGTTCTATTCACGGATGTGGTTTTTGTTTTTTTGGTTGTACATCTTTATGTTCATGTTTTTCTTCTCCTGTTTTAATGCTGTGAATACAGACTGATCTCAATTTGCACTGCAGTAATGATTAATAAAAATCTAAAATACAAACACCTTGTCAAATGTCTTCTTTCTATCCACCTTCTTTGCTGACATAGTAAATAAAGCAAAAGATAATAAAACACTCGAGTTTAAACTATGTATAGTTGTTTTACTCTGTAAAATAGAACTCATAATATGTGCTCAGCACTTTAGAGACCATCGAACAATTCACAACCTTTAAAGGAGAACTATGAGGTGAGTGCTTTTGCCTCGCCTCATAGTTCTAGCCGACCTGTGACAATGAGATTGTCACAGGTCGGCTTAGTAGATCGGGAGGTGAGCGAACACATACCGGCGTTCGCTCACCTCTCGATCCTGTCACGGCTCTCTGCCATGACAGGGGAGTGGCTGGATTCCCCCGTCCCCGCTCCGATCCTCAAGCGCTGACTGGCGGAACGGATGGGGGAGGGGGCGGGTACAGCTGGATCTGCCTCTAGATAGGCAGAGCCAGCTGTCAGTCACGCAGCTGGGCGGATCCAAACATAATTGTCGGGATCCGCTTCAGCTGCGGCGCCGCGGTATACTGCGGCGTCTCAGTATACCGCAAGCTACATCTCGCGGTATACTGAGCCTAGGGTGACGGGAGGACGCTAGTTTGTGTCCTCCCATTACCCTAAGGAGAACTATGGGGGAAAACACTGACCCCATAGTTCTCCTTTAATGCCTCTGAAGGAGTTTACAATTAAAGGAGTTGGAAAGTCCCAGCATATCCTCTCCTGTTATAACGTCAGCATTGTAATAGGAATACATAGTAGAGTTTAAGGATGCACCGATACTGATACTAGTATTGGTATCTGTGCTGGTGCCGAGTATTTGGGCGAGCCCAAATGCTCCGATGCCTAGCCCGATACTTACGGTATCAGGAAGCCGGGCAACAAGTCATTACATGCTGCTCGGCTTCCTGATTGGCCAGGAAGCCGGCTCTATGCTCCCTCGTCCCGCAGCCTCTTCTCCCCCCCGGGCTCCGGCGGTCTAAGTACCCATGATTCCATCACATGTAATACAGGTCTATTAGATGTGAAGACGCTGAGGGACATACCACAGCTGGAGTAAAGGGGTGAGTGGTCACTGTTGCAGAATAAAGGAACGAGTGGTTATATCTGGGGATGCACAGATATTTCCATCGGTATCGGCGCTGAGTGGGCAAGTACTTGTACTTGAACTTGACGAGGGAGCATAAAGCCGGCTTCTCGGCCCATCAGGAAGCCGGATACCGCGTCATTACATGGTGCCCGGCTTCCTATTTGGCCAGAAAGTCGGCTCCATGCTTTCTCGTCACCTAGTGACAAGGAGCATAGGGACGACTTCCCTGCTAATCGGGTGGTGAGTCTTACACGCCGCCCGGCTAATCAGGAAGCCTGGTGGCGAGTCATTACACGCCGCCTGGCTACCTTAATGGGCCAAACTTCTAGATGGATCTGGTTATTTGGGGCGGGAGAGAACTTATGGAAATTCAGTATAGAAATACAGATTTATTGTTAGGTTTTGAGATTTTTTTTTTCTGACCACATTTCTTCCTCGAAGATGCTGGTTCACCATCATCATTCCAGGTTTTAAGAATGCGTTTCTAAACCAAATTGTAGCGGTTTCGGCGATCTCAGTTGTTTTCTCTGCTTGATGGAGGCCAATAACTTGACCCTTTTGAAACAGAGTTACATCTTCTCCATGACCACAGGAAATGTCTTCTGACATGGTGATTTAAGAAATGAGAAGCTGCTCATTGCATCAGTTAAGGTCCAGTAACATGTTGTCAGAGGAAACATATTAATCGCTGCAGTAATTATCCAATGGAAGGCTCTGACCTACTTGCTTAGCTAAATTCAGGTGGTGACTTTTTATTTGCCTAAGTACTCTGTTTGCTGCTTCACTAGGTGCAGGAAAAACCTGCCTGGACCCTTCCTGGGTGCCCCCTGCCTCATGCATTGTTTACTACTGCAAATACCAGTTGAGCTTGTCCTCTTAACTATATGTATGTGTGTGTGTATATATATATATATATATATATGTGTGTGTGTATATGTATGCAGTGGGGATTGAAGCCTGATCTTAGTTTTGTAGTACATTGAAGGCTTATCTTAATGCATGCATTGAGGTTGAGCTGAGGCTTGTAGTGCATGCATTGGGGCTGGTCTGAGGTATGAAGTGCATGCAATGGGACTGATCAGAGACTTGTACTTCACATATTGGGGCTGAACTGAACTGTTGTGCATGCAGTGGATGTGATCTGAGGTTTATTGTGCCTTGGGGCTGATATGAAGCTTTTAGTGCAAGCATTGGGGGTAATCTGAGATTTATAATGCATGATTTGGGGCTGATCTGAGGCTTGTAGTACATGCACTGGGGCTGATCTGAGGCTTGTAGTGCATGCACTGGGGCTGACCTGAGCCTTGTAGCACATGCACTGGTACTATTCTAAAGGGCTTGTAGCACATGCACTGGGTCTATTCTAAAGTGCTTGTAGTACATGCACTAGGGCTGACCTGAGCCTTGTAGCACATGCACTGGGGCTATTATAAAGGGCTTGTAGTACATGCATTGGAGCTGAAGATTTGTGTATGCACCAGGTAATTAACTTTTGCACTCATAGTTGTACTGTTAATGGCAAGTTACACTCATTATGATGAATAATGAGTGTAACTTGCCATTAGCAGGATGACTGAGTGTAAAAGTTGAAAATGAACAAAGACTACAATGCACTATTGTTCACTGGCACGCCGGTTGTCTAATGCTTGTGGACAAGACACTTAATGTGGAAAAGTTTGCTGACTTCTGGTGAATGTGGACTTTGACTCCATCTGCAATCACTTTGAAACGCCTGGATTTACCTAGTTCAGGGTACTGGATGTTGCTAGCTCAGCTTTCTAATATTTCCAGAGTCAGACACAAGAACAATGTGACACAAAGTAGCTTTTCGTACTAAACAATTATACAATTCTCCTTTTAGGGCATAGTTTGGAGCTCTGGTTATGGGTCAGTTTGCTGTCTATGTCCCTTTTGGGCAGATTTCTGTTCTGGAAACCGAACAGGAAGTGAGAGGACTTCCCTACTTAGTTATCAGTGGCACAAGTGTCCCCAATGGAAGGCTTCCCCTTAAAGGAGAATTATGAGGCAAGTGATTTTCACTTAGCCTCATAATCTGAGCCAACCTGTGACAATGAGACTGTCACAGGTCGGCTCAGTAGATCGGGAAGTGAGCGAACACATACTGTCGCTCGCTCACTTCTCGATCTATCCGTGCAGAGAGCACGGCGCCCTGCAGGCAGTTTGCCTACATACAGGTGAAACTCGGAAAATTAGAATATCGTGCAAAAGTTCATTTATTTCACTAATGCAACTTAGCCGTCTACCAGGAGATTTTGGAGCACTTCATGCTTTCTGCCACAGAGGAGCTCTATGGGGATGCTGACTTCATTTTCCAGCAGGACTTGGCACCTGCCCACACTGCCAAAAAATTTCTGAAATTGTGGATCTGGGTTTTGATGAGCTGTAAGCCATAATCATCACAATTATGACAAATCACGGCTTGAACTATCTTGCTTTGCATGTAATGAATCTATCTCATATATTAGTTTCACCTTTTAAGTTGCATTAGTGAAATAAATGAACTTTGCACGATATTCTAATTTTTCGAGTTTCACCTGTATGTAAAATGTACAGAGTGGTAATTTACACAGACTGCTTGCAGAGCACAGAGGGGGCATTTCAAAAGAAGCCACGAGGCGATGAAGAGGACAAAATAGGTACGTTTCTCTTTTCCTATTAGGGAATTACATATGCCTGCTTCATATACGCTCAGTGTACATTACTGGCATATGTTTTTTTTGGGTTTTTTTTAAATACCTCCCCCAAGGTAGAAATGGGCTTTAAAACGGTGAAAAATCACACCAGATATCACAAATATTTTAATAACCCGGGTTGATTTATTTATAAAAGATGAAGAAAACATGAACATAGTCGAAAAAACAAAATTCTCCCTTCAAAGGCCACTAAATCTGGAGGTTAGCTGTGAAGTTAAATACATTATTACTGACACATCCATAATAGGAATATTGAATCTATCTATAAACGTGATTATAAAGAGTGAAGGTCTCTACAGCTCCGTCTTCAGGAGAATCTTGGCCTTCTTCATGTTCTCGAAAACTGAAAATAAAGAGGAGTCAAAGTTAGTAGTGTATGATAACAGCAAAGCAAAAAAAAATACTTTCTTAAAGGACAGGTCCGCTTTAAGGTGATATTGAAGTTAAAATTTAAATTATAGTGGGGGGGGGGGGCTGAATCCCCATGGGGTTTTATAACTTTCAGGAGTTTTAGGTGTCAGATCTTCCCACTAAAGTTCCAGAATGAAGTGAATGATCTACGAGCACACCTTCTTATGCTGATAGGTGGGCTGAGATGGGAACTGCAATGTATCTATCTCACTGCTGAAGTCCCTATGGTACAGGAGGAGCTGGTGGACAATCACTCAATATTGGGGAACTGTATTCTCAGATGGAGAAACCTGGAGCTCTCCTCAACGTCCATTGCTTTCTGGTTTAACTGTGCCATCTGCTGGTGGATGTTGCAGGCCATAAAAATACATAAGAGGACAGATGGACCTAGAGGTACAGGGACCTAGAGGCAAAGCTCAGACACTTCCAGGTAGTATGGGAGATTGGTGCTAAAAAATTTCCTACACATTCCTGTTGGCCCATCACTACGATAAGCCACACTGGCCAAGACAGGGAAGGAGCGGGCAAGCGTAAGCACCATCAGAACGATGTCTTTCAGTTTTGGATTCCATACAAATATATTTATTCCCAGATAATTTTTTGTACAAGTCATTCTGAATTAAAAAAGCTGGTTGGATGACCAGTGAAACGTCTTCAAGAACTATACAGCAAGTCCAGTTGCCTTGACTTATTTTTTACATACAGTATATTGCGTGGGGAACTTAACAGCCTCTGTTAGCTTTATATGGCTGTGTACTCATTTGGAAGACTTCACTTTCTGTCTTTTGATGAGTGTCGGAAAAAACATCAGGTCAGAAGACACACATGCAAGTCCTTAGTCCTCACCAACATTTCCCCACGATGGTTGTGTATGCAGATGATGGAATGTGAGCGTGTCCATGCCCCAAGTTTTGGTGAACTAACGTGTTTGTTTTGCATCATTCTAGTCTCACTTCCCTTTGTTTTCATTTGTGGAGAACGAAAAGATTTTAGAGAAGCAGCAGAGGCTTCTATGTGACCACAAAATGGAATGCTCCACCAAGCACAACATTACAAGCTTTTCTTTACCAACCGCCCCCCAACCCTGCGCCTTCCTATGGGAGTGACCAGGACGGGCAAGGACCCCTTATGCACTTACGCAGTTCGATGTCACTGGGCTCGTAGGTGTAGCGGTGGTTGGAATATTTCCCGGGAATATCGGCTCTGACCACGAGGGAGGGATCTGGAATACATAAGATACAAATAAGATACAACATCATGTATTAGAGTACAACAAGACTCATACTATACTGATATCATTATTCATCATTTCACTGGTTAGTATCTTTGTTGGTAACATTGACAGGGCCGGATTTCCCACAAGGCCAACCAAGGCCCGGCATTGGGGCAGCAGGCAGTAGAGGGGCGGCAGGGGTGTGGAATTCCTATCTCCCGATGCCCGGGCGGAAAGTTGTTTTCTACATTTAGTCTTGCTTTGGGCAAGCAGAGCTAAATGTACAGCGGGGAAGCTGCCACTTGTGTGGTATTTCACATGTTTATTCCCTCATTGTAAAATATTCAATGATTATAAGCAGTACCCATCTGTATAACGTATGCTTTATTAATTTTTTATTTAATTGATTTTAATTGTACAAATTTTAAAAGACATTCAATGGTGATTTCAGTCAACCGCACTGAGATGGGATCGCACTGAGATGGGATTAGAATTTCTCCGATCCAACCCAGCAGGAAAAATCAGATCACTTTCACCTAAACTGCCACATTTCCATGGTCTGCAGAGTTTTTCCATTTTCAATGAGATTTTTCAATGAACAATATTGAACATGTCAATTTATTGCCCAGTTTTATCTTAACCCATTTCAGTTCTTACACACCAATACTCCTGATGGACCAGAACAATTGTAAAATGTAAACTACGGGCCAGTTTTTTTAGTAAAAACTTTGTAATTACTTAAGATAAAGTAATACATGCATTTTTTTTATGGGGATATGGGGAA